ATCCTGAAATTAAGCAAGTTCCACGTTGCTCTAGTTTGTTTGGATGTGGCTTTTTTGGACAGCTCTGAAATAACATTTTGGGGAGATACCAGAAAATCATCAGTCTGGGAAAACTACTCATCCATCAAAGAGGAACATACATTATGACTCTAAGAGCTAGGGGATGAAAATGCTCCAAAACAGCTTCCTTATTCAAAATTAGAAATAAGGAAGTGGAAAGGGAAAAATTAATGACTTTGCCTTGCTCAGCACAATACCATGATTTGAGTGCAGTGTCTGAATTTGCTCTTAGTAACCCTGAGAAATTCAGCATAATCACAGTGTAAAAGTAGTAGAATCAGAATAAGACATGTATAGCTCTCACACATGTTCACATCTCACAGATCCTTTTGCATGGGACTGGCAGTGTGCCTAGTATTAGCCAAGTAACAAAGGCAGGCACTGATTTTTCGCTCTTACCTTTTAAATGCAAGCAGCTCTTTCTAGATTCTATCTCCTAGATTAAAATGAAAACCTGGAATAAGGTGTATATGGCAATGGGAGCTTCTTCTAGTCTTATGCTTTCTGATTGCCTAGGGACAGGGCAAATCTGTGGCCTGGCTGCACAAGCTGCAGAAGGCCTGACGTCTGTCTGAGGCTGAATTTAGTTAGCCTGGGCAGTAGGAGCACTGAAGACAACCCAACAATCAAAAAATCAAGGTCAGTAGGGCTCTGTGATCCTGAGGAAGGTCCTGATGTCTTTGCCAGCATGTCTTAACTGCTGCTGTTATATTAAATTGCCAAACTATCACAGATACATCTATTCACACTGCAATCACACCTTCTTTTTGTTGTATAGACAAGGACTTGGATACTTTCTGTAAATGGTGGCAGTCTTCCAGTCAGTGATGGCGGCTGGACTCCCTGCAGTATCTACCTGCTGAGGTGTTTCCTACGACGTGCTACTTCTTTATTTACTCTTACTCCGGGCTCTTTCCCTTCAGACAGAGCTTGGCAAGCAGCCCTGTGGCCATTTTCTGCACTGAACATGTGCCAGAGGAAACCAGCTTTTATAAGGACTGGGACATTTTGACCAAAAGCAAGGTTGTGAGTCCCAGTGGGTATTCTTTTTAATGTGTTTGTTAGCACCACTGATTTTCCTATTTTTGCCGTGTGAAAGAGTTTGCTGTCCTTGACTAATGCAGCGAGTTATTATTCATAAGCTTTTCTCAGAAGTCCCTACTTTGGTATGAAGGATATCTAAATTCCCTTCATTAAACTTTCTTCTTTCCTTAGAAAGCAATATAATAAAAACTGAATGGCAGAATCTTGAATGCATGTGAAGTAATCTTTTCTCATTTGCTTGGGTTTCCAAAAGTTAATTGTTAAAAAATAGGCTTTAATAGCAAATGTGTTTTAATGACAAGATGCTTTGAAAAAACAATTCACAATTGCCAAGCTAGCTTGGTCAACACTTGCTTACATCTGGACAGTACTTCATATAGTGAGGTGCCAGCTTGAGACCTCTGGATGCTCCTCTGCAAGAAACAGTGCTAGCAATAGGTAGTTGCAACATAAGAAAAACAATGCCAGTCACTCTTTTGTTGAGTTACATATTGGTATCAAAGTTAAAAATGATTAATTTGTTAATAAATGAATAGAAGACTTGTGTTTCCACTTTCTTTTTCAAACCAAAGCTGTTCTTAAAATCTCTGAGCCCAGAGTGTGCCAGTTTCTAATTTTCATTTTCTCCATTTCATTTAAAAGATTCAGCTAGCAAACCCTTAGCACATTTAGCCATGTTTATGGACAGCAACCTTTGCTGAAGAAATAAGTGTCATGCTGTGCCTTGTGAAGTTATGATAAACATCCTGGATTTGTACACAGAAAAATGTCAAAGGTCAAATAGATTTCCTCACCAGGGAATTGTCCTGTAAAACACAATGATCCTGGTGTTTGTATGGTAACAAGGAGTTATGGACTGCAGCTGATGATGACGTGGACTGTATTGAGAGGTTTTGAAAGACACATGTACAATGTCAGATCTCTCAAAGACACGGTAGTTGATGCCTTGTCACTGTGTCTCCTAGGTTTACCCCTTCTCATGATAATGGGGTGAAAGGTGTGTGAAATGAATGTTTGCTACTGGCCTTTGTCAGAAAGCAGTAGAACAATTCAGATGGGTGACATATAATCTAAATGAGGCTCTCCTCTGCCTCACAGGATAAGAGCTACTTTCAGGAAAAAGAAACTCAACATCTAATGGTGTTATGAAGATGCCAGTGACTATAACCATTAAACAAACTAACGGCAAGTGATGGGCTATATCTGTGTGCATTCCCTTCAGTGTTTGCTTTCTTTTTGCTGACTCGATTGCCTTCAGTTAGCTGCTGCTCATACAGGGGGAACACATAAAGTGAGACCAGCTGAGTGTGCAGACAGTGCTGAGGCATTCCAGGGGAGCAGTTAACATTACTGTCTTCATAAGATTTCCAAGTTTCAGTCAGCCTGGAGTTTGCATTTATTTCAGAGATGGAGTTAGCACTGGTTGGTTAGACAATTTCATTGTCAAATTAAATGTTAGTCCAAAGCAACATTAATATTACTTAGTCCTACTGCTCTGTGCACTGTTGTGTAGCTCACAAAATCTGAGGTATGAGCTGCCTCTGCCTGTATCGGGAAAACTAATTTTTCAAACAAGACAAAAATGTTATTTACCCTATAAAAAAAAAGAAGAATATGAAGCCAGGATGTTTCTGTTTGGGTCTGCTTGCTCTTCGTGCTGTCTTTTGCGGTCCTGTAATACTTGGTCATCTGGCATTCTCATCATAGCAAGGCACATCCTCTGAATATATACCTCCTTCATGCCAAATATATATATATATATCTGCTCTGGAGCTGAAAATCAAAATTATTACATGATGCAACAAGTCAGTGTGATAAATGAGTAGAGGGAGTGGAACAGAAATGATGAGGCTAGCAGTGACAGGAAACAGAGCTATATAGATAGTGTGTAAAGTTTGTAACTTTGCAATACGTGTTAGGCTTGTTTCTCTAAGATATAAAAAGAGGGAAAAGATTGATGGTGTCAGTAGTTTCTGCTGGCCACCTGCTTCACTGTTATGTTGAAAAGATGAAAGTGCATTCCTTTTATGCATGAGGGTACATTTTATGTTTTCTGCAACAAAGCATACCATGGTGTTTTGCACAATTATATTTTCTGTTTAGTCATAAGAAAATGAATCTGAGAAAATGGAGTAGAAGTCATAGATCCCAAAGCACTATGAGCCTGCTAATTCTGTAGTTAACAAACATCTAGCATGTTGCTTCGCCTTTCCCTTATAAATATTTTCCAGAGGAGTGCTATCTCTTGACTGGACCATCTTGTGACGATTAATAGGGAATGGAGAAAACAGTGATGAGTGCTGTGTTTGGACAAAAGCCTTCCTGAACCAGTAATAAAGAAACACACAACATCCCTGCTCAGACTTTAAAGCAAACATCAGACTAAATAACCCATTTTTCAAGGGTGGGATAGTGGTGCAGCTGACAGTTATATGACAGAACATATACACAAGTACATATAATATAATCTGGGGGGGGGGGGGCACGACAGAGAAAGAAAACAAAGAAAACAGACTGCCATTTTCTCAGTGAAGTCTAACAATACATCAGAATATAATTTTGCTTACATTTGCAGGAAATAGGACTCATTCTTTCAAAAAAAAAAATAGGTCCCTGTTGTAAGGAGAGCAGGGAGAGGGAAGGAGGGATGAGGCATGACTTCCTGAGGAAGACCAACAGTACTGTGCCCCAGGCAGTGAGCTCTTTGCAGCTAATAGTTAAAATGACCTCACTTGAGTACATCTCGGACTGCCAGCAGGTACATGCAGCTCAAAGAGCACAGCTCTTTTTCCCAAAGCTAGACTAATGCTTTAGCACAGGACTATACCACGCACACATCTTTTTCATTCAAGCAGAAAGGAGGAACCATGACACAATCTGACATGCAAAATGGCCTCAGGAAATTACTGTGAAAAAACCTGAAAAGTATGACTTCAAATGTGAGAAGTTTGATCCAGTCTTAAGCCAGTTAGTGTTAGGGATTAAGGTTAGGGTTAGACACTTACAGGTATGCTTTCACATAGGATTAGGGTTAGGCTTGGGGTTAGAGTTAGGGTCATTAGGGTTAGGGTTTAGAGTTAGGGTTAGGGTCATTAAGGTTAGGGTTAGGTTTACGGTTAAGATTAGACACTCCGAGAATTGCTTTCATGTTCGTTGGAGTTAGAGTTTGGGTTTAGAGTTTAGGATTAGGGTTAGGGTTTAGGGTTTGGGTAATAAGTTTTAAGTCTTTGTGCTAGGGTTCTGGTTTAGGCTTATAGTTAACTTTAGGATTAGGTTCACAACAGGGTTAGGGTTTAGTCTTAGTGTTATAGTCATTAAGTTTCGAGACTTCTAGATTTCCTTTCATGTCAGACTACTGAAATTTCTACACCTCTCTTTTATTAGCATATGTATTTTTGTACTTTTGGAATTCTTTAAGCACTGATTACCTTTCCTTTCTAGATCTCTGTAACCTCCTTGTTCCCCTCATTATCTTCCCTCTGGTTCCAATATGGGCCATACAACCAAGGCTGAACGAGTGTTGTCTTGTCTTGTACATTTATATCCAAAGAAGAGCTGCCTGCTATACACACGAAACATGTGGTGCCTAATTCTTCCTATCAATTTTTGAGAATCTTGGAAATTTGTCAGATTTTAAGTGCTGTGGTGGCCTAGTCATTTGTTTGTGGTAGCACCTAACAGCCTCTGCATTAGGATCTTGCTGTGCAAGGCACCACACAAACGCGGATTAAGAGGAGCTGCCCGTCCTGAAAAGCCAAGGAAATCAGGCAGAGACAGATCAGGTGCATGAAGAAAAGACACAGAGGGGTAAAACAGTCACCCGCAGGCACACTGTCCCAGGGCACTAAGAAGATTAAGAGCTGGATCTTCTGATGCCAGGGCTCTACATGATGGGCTGTGCTGCAGAAGCAACAGTAATGGCCCTTTGAAGAAGAAACTTCTGAACCTCCAGATGAAAGGAACAGCTGCTTACCAGTGATGCAGGACATGGATTCAGTGTAGTGCTTTTCCTCACAATCCTCCTATTAATCTCTAATTAATCACAAGCCATTTATTTCTTGTGTGCTTGTATGGATTAAAGTCCATGCATCACAGAAATCTTTTTCTTCACCTTTTTTTTTTTTTTTTAATCTCTCTTAAGAATGAAACCTCTGTGGTAGAAACAACATCTTGTGCATAAAACAAGGCCAGTGGCTCAGAAGATGAAATGTTCACCCCTGGGATCTTCCTTTTGCACGTTGCAGCACACGTCCTCCTCGGAAGGGTTTCTCCTGGCACTCTACCTGAGGGGCTCTCCATTTCCTGACCAAACACCACATGGAAAATTAAAGTTCACAGAAAATATATATAAAATCCAACACCTCTCTATAACAAGCTATATGGAGTGGCCAGATATTAAGTCGTTAATTCTTACCACTGTTTCATACAAAGTGTATAATTACCACTATATAATACTGCACAGCACAGGATTCTTTTAATGTGTGATCAAATTGTAATTAGTTTCACTTTTTTTCCTTACCCATTATGGGTCCTCCCTCCCATTTCCTTCTGACAGTAGGTCTCTTTTCTCTTTCTCACTTGCTTTCTGTGCAGTAACACATGTGCTGCTCAGCTCTGTCCCTGAAGTGTGTACAAGATTTTCTTAAGCTTATCAGAACATGTACCTGGGACCAACTTAACTCGAAAGCACTGAAACTGTTTTTCTACATCAGAGCCCTGACCAGAGCAGCCCTCCTACCTTCAACCTAAGCACAGCCCAAACCTCCCCCTGTGGCGGAGAGAGGAATGGGCAACATGGAACAAAGTATAAAAAAAAAAAAATAAATTACTGCTTTGGTTTCTTTTTGCTGTAAAATCTATTCACCTTTATGAGCCTGTGCATCTCTACATTAGTATGTATATAAACGCATGTGTATATGCATATATAGAATCATAGAATCATTAAGATGACATAGTTTAGTGGGAGGTGTCCTGCCCATGGCAGAGGGGTTGGAACTAGATGATCTTAAGGTCCTTTCCAACCCTAACTATTCCATGATTCTATGAAAGTTGGAAAAGACCTTCAAGATCGAGTCCAATCATTAATGTTGCACTGTCATATATACATATATGAATACACCTAGATACATATAGCTTCTTAAAGGTTACTGAGCACTGAGTAAATGCTCCCTTCCTCCCACGCTGCTCTTAAAGCCATTTTTTCAGATTCCTTAGGAATCTGACCACATAACAATAAATGACACATCACTGAAGGGCATCTGGTGAATTTTCTGCCATGATGGGAGGGTCGGAGCTGGCTACCCTTTTATGCAGGGCTACTTCCAGAAAATGAAGGAAAGCAAAGGGGCTCCTGCAGAGAAGAGGAAAGAGGAACCATGAGCAGAAAGACCTTCAGTGTCTTACCACGACTAGCACGTGTCGGTGCCACTAGCTCTGGGGGAAGGAGGGACGCAAGCCCCTGGCCCCCAGAAGGAGGCAGCTGCTGCAGGCCCCAGTACCTCTGCCTTTCATTTCACTTTCTCCCAAGGCTCTCTCCAGCCTCCCTTTTTAGCGGCTTTATGTAAACTCTGGGGTCCTGCTGGATGAAAGTGCTCTCTGTTTCGCAGCGGAGCTGTGGCTTTTGGATTTTACAGCCCCAAAATTACTTCACGATGATCCAGAGCACACATCACAGCCCAGAAACCACACGGGAGCCGTGCTGGTAAAGGAAGCCGAGAGTTGCTGAAGTAGCCAGACTGAAATTTATAACCGTGACCTGGGCCTTGTCAGGCCTTTATGACACCGTGTAAAGTGAATTGCTGCTTAGTCACCAATTTGCTTGGCAAGATTGGCTGGATTAGGAAATACATAAAAGGTCAGACAGTAGGAGTTTGTCTAGACATCCTATTTTGGATTATATGCTCTACATGTTTCTGTGGCAACCCCTGCAAAACATTCATATTTTAGCAATATTTTTGAAGGCTCCTTTTCTGTAATGAGCTACTGAAGCTTTTGTGAGCAAAATTAACTTGTTTCTCTACCACCCGCAGCCCGCCAGCTGCCCAGCTACACCCTCTTAGGAAGCCAAGGGGACCCACCTTGGCCAAACTGCCAGAGTGGCTGCACTGCCAGCTTCCTCATGAAGGCAGCCAGTGGTGGACCTGCCATCGGTGAAGAAGCTGAGACAGGGACTGCATGCTTCCTGCCAGCTGCCAGACCATGCTCCATCACCCTTCACTACCTCCATGCTGATCTTTGCAGCAGCAGAGGGATGGGGGTACCCAGAAGAAACAGATCCTACTTCACATTGTTTGGTTGCAAGCAGCTCTTTGAGGTGTGTGAATAAAAGCAGCAGCACCATGGCTTGGCGCCTGCAACCAAGTCCTTCGGGAACATCCCAGGAGGGAAGATTTAGATTAGATATTAGGCAGAAGTTCTTCCCTGTGAGGGTGCTGAGGCGCTGGCACAGATTGCCCAGAGAAGCTGTGGCTGCCCCATCCCTGGCAGGGTTCAAGGCCAGGTTGGACGGGGGTTGGAGCAATCTGGTCTAGTGGAAGGTGTCCCTGCCCATGGCAGGGAGTTCTATGACTTGAGCTGGGGTACTCAGAACTTTTAACAAAACCAAATGCAAACAAGCAAGAGAGGAAAACCAGCCAGGGAAAGACAGGCTCCACAGCCACTTTTTTACTTCTCTGGCATTATTGTTATTTAGTTCTTCCCATACCTCATGCAAGTAAAAAGTCGGAATAATTTCAAATTTAGATCCCTGGGGTTCTGGAGGAGGAGGGGGGAAGAAAAAGAAAAAGTGAACTCCAGAATTTTCAATGACACTAATTGGGTTTGACTGGGTTTTACAGGTTGAATCAAATAGATGCCAATTTAAACTAAATAGAATGTAGCGAGAAAGATTTTATGAAAACCAAGGGCAGATTTATTTTGTCTACTCAAGTAAAAATTAATGAACAAATAAACACTCCGGACAGCACTTTTGACCAGGTTCAATAAATTAAGCACGTGCTTTAACTTTATGGTTCCTATCATCCGATACCTAGAAAAATGGCTTTCAGATTCATTCCTGAAAGGGCTGGTATTTATTAGGACTGGTCAGTTTTCTTTTCCTTGTAATTATCTTCTGGATAAATAATACTGTGAAAGGGGTATTGCATTGCTGACTGCTGACATAGCCAGCACCTGGAGTGGTGCTAATTCAGCGGTGCAGCAGACGTTCCTCTGAGAATATCATACACCTTCCTTGGGCAGTGCTCTTCCTCACTGCCTCCAAGCCGTTCAGAAAAGTGGGTATCATTATCCCCACTCTACAGATGAGGAACAGCTGGAGAAAAGCAGGGCTTAGAGAAGTAAGTGAACAGTTCGGAAAAGGTGTGGGCTTTTTGCAGCTTCCCTGACACTCTTGGCGTGATAGTGCTGTTTCTGTAACTGCTGGCTTTTCATATGTGTGTTGAGAAGGTGTGTAATTAGTTTACTTTGTAAATTGAACTGCAAAATACTGTACTGAGTTACAGCTGGGGTAGACTGAGCTGCTGAACTGAAGAGGATTTCTGAAGTAAGAGCAGAGCAAAGTAGCTGCTGTGCTGATACCCTTTGAATTTGAAACCTAATGCTCTGGCACTTCCCAGGCAAACTGAGTCAACATGCATTCTTAGTTGTCTCTGGCACAGGCAGAGGGATTGCACATGAACTGGGGAGTGTAGCAACACCCCCAGGGCTGAGGGTGTGAGTGCTGATGTATGTACTTGCATATATCGGATTCTGAGCTCTAAAATAATGTAGGCAGATGCATATTTCATGGCCTACCTGTTCACTATGTTTCCCAGCTGACAGCCTGAGTCAAATAATGTGAAACAGAAACACAGTGGAAATGAAGTTCCAAGTTTGACCAAGCAAACACCTCTCTATTTCTAAATTGTTTTCTGCCAGCTTCTCTTGGTCATACTTCCTTGGTGATTTACCTATAAAATGAGCTTTTATTTACTGTTTTGAAATACTGTGTTAATAAGAAGGCTATAGAACCACATCAGATATTTCTGAATTCCAGCACGAATCTGTTATCTATTATTATTACTGCACAAACAGCCCTGTTTAGGCAAAGGAGCACTGAAATACAATTTGCCAAATGAGTAACAGGTCTCTGCCCTAAGGAGCTTACAGTCTAAAGGCAATTTTGGCTAGGTTTTCAAAGGTGCTGCATACCCACAGTTTACAGTGACTTCAATGAAAACCTGTGATTACAATGACAACTTTGAATATCATGCCAAATATAAATAATTACTTTTTTTTCTTCTTTGATATCTGGAAGTCACTCATAACATTTTAATTACAAACATATTACCAAATTTTATTATTTGACTTTCTTAGTCCCATCTGCCCCTTTCAGGACTGATCTTCATCTGGTTGATAGGCATTTATTACTTCTTCCTCTACAATGTAACAGGGACCTGACTGTCCTCCTAGGGATACCTAGCCACTGCTATGCAAAATCCTACTAAATCTAGCAGCTATTGGGGTGAATTATGTTCCTATTTTTATAGGTGACTATAACTACAAGGTTGTCTGTTACTTGTAAAGAATAAACTGAGGGGACAGATTTCGCTAATTTTTACAAATATAAGGTGCAAGTAGGTGACACATTTTAGATCTGTGATAGTATGTAGAATTCTCAGGGATCAGGAGATTTTGATAGGTGCTTGTGCGAAGTGGGGAGGATATTCTTAAGTAGTTTGTTTAAAAAAGGCTTCCCAGCAAGGCAATGCCTTCAAAATGCTAGAACACTGTAATCTGTAGGAAAATACATCATTAACTGTAAACTTTAAGCATGTTGCACACAGCTCATGGTGTCTTCCACTATTTATAAAGACAGTTGAATATGCACTGTGTATTATAGATGACCTCTGATCTCCATACTACCTAATCCAAAGTGCAACACAGTGTATATTTCTGAATTGGGATAAAGAGAATTAGCGAATCATGTCTAGATTAAGAGGAAAGGGGTTTTTATTCTTGTGGGGACTTGGATGATGCTACTATCACCCTGCTATAGGACTCCATATTCTTCACACTTCTTTTACTTTAAAACTAGGCTATGAAATATCAGCATTTTTATGAAGTAGAACAGCAAGGGAGAAGATAAATCTATTGATGTGATTTAGGTACTAAACAAAGCAAAAAAGAAATGTAGAACATACGAAAGGCTTGAAAATTAAGAAGAAAATCAATTCTGTGTACACAGGGGAAAAGGTAATTTTAGTCACACCGGGCTTGTAATAAGTGCTTTTCTCTTGTGGATCTCAAAGTACCTGAGAAAATGAGTGAGTACCACAGCCTTATTTATGGATGGGGAAACTGAGGAACAGACAGAGAATTTCACATGCTCAAGGCTGACCAGTATACCAGATAGGAATAGCAACAATATTTAGTTGTGGCAGTGCTGCATTCACTAGATTGTATTAAGTACAAATGCTGATTCAACTGAAATAAATGCAAAAGCATTGTTGAATTACTGTTAATGATGGCTTGCAAACTACAAAAGAAATTAGGTTTCTCTCACTAAAAGTATGCCATGAGAACGGTCTGTTCTGTCTCACCATGACATCCACATTCGAACCTGCTGTGAGACTGTGAGGCAACAAGCTCTTTTGAAGACCTGCTCAGCCTTTCCTCCTCCACAGGTGAGAAGAGGCAACAAGATTTTGCCTCTGCTCCAAACTTTCCACCCAGGTTGCCCTAGAGTGTTTCCATTCCCTCCAGGAGAACTGATGGATTGTCCTCCTGCGAGTTTCCCCAGTGCATGGCATCTTGCCAGAGCTACGTTCTTTGGTAATCTACTCTTCACCTTCACATTGCATATACAAATTAATTAATAATGATAACTATAGTTAAGTATTATCTTGTTTTGGCAGCACTTTTCTGAAAGATAAAATGAGAAATCTATCCTTCTGTTGATGTTGCTTATCTCTCTTGCCAAGTCCTCACCTCCTTCTCTTCTCCTTTCTTGGGTCTTTTCCAATGTCTGTTTTCCCTCCACATGATTTCCCTTCTTGTTGAATATTGTACTGTATTAATACTTTTTTTTTTTCCTATTTTCCTCTGCCTTTTTCCCTCTCCCACACTCTGTTTCTGTTCTTGACCTTGATCCTTCTTCTTCTATGTCTCCCACATTCTTCCTTTTTTATCTGGTTTGTCCCAGTCTCTTCAGCCAGACACAGATCAGTCCTGTCAGGAGGTTTGGGGAGTTTCAGAGCAAGTGCACAAGCAGGAGTTGGTTAGGTCAAGTGAAGCATCTATTCAGCAGTTTCTCAACTGCTTTTCATCTACCTTCTGCTTAGTCTGAGCATATGGAAGAAGGCAAAAGCTGCCACATCTGCTAGAGATGTGCTCTGTAGTCATAAGGGATGAAGAGAGGACAGAGCTATCCAGAAACTAGAGTGCCTATGCCTTTTCACCCTGTTTGTCACAGCTGGATTTCACCTCCAGGTGAAAAAGGTTTTGGGATGAGCTAAGGCAGGGGTAACCCAACAAATATTTGTAACCCTCAGTCCAGGTGACTTCTGTGGCTAAACTTGCAACCCTCAGTCCAGGTCACTTCTGTGGCTAAACTAGAACAGCAAGGTTAACAATGTTATTTAATACAGTGAAGAAGACAAACTGATATAAAATTGCCTCTATTTAAACACAGATTTGGTGATGGTGTTCCATGCATTTAAAGACACTTGCACAGTCAGCATCTCAAAAGTATTATTTAATGAAAAATATTAATCACAGAGAAGATGCATGTCTTGTTAATTGCACAGTCTGATTCAAAGGTATTAAGTACAAAATCTGTACAACTGCCTGCCTTCATACCTAGTTGTCAGTCCATACAGAAGGGTGCACATGGCATCATTATCCTGTGACTGATGTACGAGCTATTAATTTCGCCAGCACAGGAAACAGCATTCAAGGGATATAAACACCTCAAAGTGTGCCTGTTTTTCAGGCTGAACCAATATGACCAGAGAATTCACCTGCTCAATGCCTTAAGCCCCCAGCTTGTCCTTCTGCCTGCAGAAGCGGCTGCCACAGGAAGGATGGGGAGGCAGATGGTGCTTCCCAAGCTGCTGGCCTTCCAAACACCATCCCATGCAGATGTACTTTCAGTGGGGACAGATGCTTAAATTGCCTGGGGCCCTGCCTACCCTGACTCCCATCATTGCTACTGCCAGTGGAAAAGTTGTAGACCAAAAAAAGCTTCACATAAATAGACTCTTGTTTAAAAGCTTGGTGCCTTCAGCTGTTTCTAAACGAAGCATGTCAAGGTGTAGGAGGGAAGCCCTAATGGCGTACAGGGAGCTGGGAAACACCAGCTTCCGTGAAATGCTTGTGGCCAGCTTTAAATGTTCTAAGAGGTTTTATTTTTAACTGTTTCAGTAAGTAAGAGATCTTGAGTGGTTGTTTGGAGGTTAAGTAAACAAAGTGTTGGTAATTTAATATCAGCTATGTAATTGGCCTCATCATTTTTCTCTGTCAGTTCTTCTTCAAGCCACACAAACCAAACTTTAATCATATTCTC